ATGAAATGTAAAAACACTGCTTTTTCGTGCATTTTTTGAACTTTGAACACGAATTACAACCAAACGGCTAAAACCACAGTAATATATCGATATTTCCTAGATTCCCCAAACATTCAGCTTTCATATGCATCTTTTGGATTCGTTCTAACTATTATTACGTATAATTACATTCATCTATTAAAGCAATTTCTGACGTTTTCAGTTGTCAATGTCATATAATTACATATCGCATCTGACGTTTACAGTTGTCAACGTCATTGCGATTTAAGATCCATTCCTGTCAATTAGTACGTCACAATTGGTTTCGATCGAAGCGAACTGCATCATTACGCGCTTCGATTGCGAACGGTAAATCGAAATGTGTTGCAGCAATTTAACCGATCTGTCGCGCGAACTGCGGAGAAGTTGGAAAAAATAAATAAATAAAGTAAGACTTAAATGAAACGAGTCGCTTAATAAACAGGAAATCATCGGAAATCTCGCACAGTGGGTCAGAGGGAGCAGAGCGACTGCGGCGGCGGCAATGTTTCTTCGCATATTGTTGGAGCATACAGTTAGAGAGCGACACGAGGTCAGTCCATTCTGGTCCATGGCACACACACACACACACACACTCGCGCGCGCTCAATTAAAGGATTCGATCGAGTTTTGCAATTGGAGATGTGTCATAAATTGAAACGAATTTCTTCGTTGTTCGAATATGCACGTTTGCACAATAACCTTCGACGAGTATAATAATACTTGCGTACGAGACAATAATAAATCGTGGAATTAACTGTCGTTTATAAACAAATCATATATGTATTTATTTATTTTTTTTCAATCTTTCGTTTCATGGTCGCATTTTGTAAAATTTGTTGTTGTTTTTGTTGCAGATTTCATCAATAGAAAGTGATACTACGGAAAACAGGATTAAAAGGTCCGCCAGAATTCGAGTTGCGTTGCGTGCGTGTGTGTTTTGAGAGTGAAACAGAGATGGAGTTAGTTGCAGCGACGCCGACGACGGCGACGACCAATGGGTCGCCGTTCCACAATCACGACGTGCGCGAATGGTCCAGATTGGACAGCATCACCGGGGTGCTGGAGAGGGCGCGTCTCGAAACCGACCAATGGACGTCGAACACGGCCAACTCTACACACAAATACAACAAGGTAAAAATTTTGCAAATTTTCGAAATTCAACAAATCTATTGAATTATTAATAATATTGAACGCGTCTTGTCAATCAATTAAAAACTTTCTCCCAAAGCTCAACAATAAAACATTTGATTATTACATTTTTATTGTAATTTTCAACAAGTGAAAGCTCGTTGAAACGAATATTGATTGATCATCGCGTGCAATTCGATAGTTTATGATAATTTAATTTCTTAGAAACTGAATTTTGTTTAGTGTTAATGCAATTCGATGGAGGCGCCATCTCGTGGATTCCATTTGTTATTTAATACACGCGCGAACTAATTACGATGAAATAAATAAATGAAGAGAGAAGGAACGGTAATTGGGTTCGCACAAAACAAACGCGATCGGTTTTCATGAAAGGCATCTGTCGCTGCGCGAGTACAGTTAGGAGTTGCGTAACGCGGTTATATTCGCTGTAGAAAGTGGTCTATATAGTGTGTGTATATAAATATCGACGAGGGCTTTTCCAGGGAATCATCCGCGCATTTCATCAAAGACACCCGTGATTGTCACTCGTTCTTCTTTTCGTTTCCTTTTGGTAGTTAATATTGTTGTTTACGTTGCTATGGCGCCCGTTTCGCCTTCCGCGTGCTGCGATCGAGCCGAGCCGACACATACATAACACACAGCACACTTTATGCAAGAGGATAACACACCCAGTTTTCATGTTTCGTTTATTCCATTTTAAAATTAATATTGGTATCGAATTTCTTCGATCTCCTTCACCTTTTCACCTCGGCAAAATGCACGAACTGTTGGCGCTACCGAAAAGTGTATATATTATTATTATTATTATAAAAAAAAAACAAAAAACCCGAAATGTCATCCGTTAACATCTGTCATTGGCAACTGTCATTTGATTAACAAACGAAATACCGTGGTTGACTCACACGCTATTGATTATTATTATTTTTATTGTTATTGCACGTTCGCTAAAAGTAATCCAGTTTCAGCGCGGAACAATGAACGCGCGTGCAGAACGCGAACCGGGAGGGAAAAGATAATTGAAATCTCCCGTCCGCAATCTTAATCCGCATAGCACAATTACATCATCTCTCGCGCACATTTGACATTTCCTTGCTTTTGTTTTTGACAACTCGAAACGTCACAAACATTCTAACCTTACGTCAAATTGTAGAAATGTCAAATTGACATATCAAATGGATTCGTGCTACGTCAATTACGTCATTGTACAAAGAAAAAAAACATGATCAATTAATTAGCGAATTACAACGAAATTGGGTGATTCCGTTTCGTTCACTTTCGTTCTGTCGGTAACATTTCAACGTAATGTCACAATTTGTATAACAATGGATACACATAGTTGCATATTATAAGGAGTTAATAAATACAATAAAAAAAAATAATAAATAAGAAGTTCGACCTTAACGCTGTCGCTCCATCTAAAGATAATTTAATCGATTTATATTACGTTCACATCAATTCAAATTCATGCAAAATCAATGTAATTTTTTTTATAAAATGTACCTGTAAATTACCTAATTTACTAGAGAAATTATTATTATTTGGGCGTTAAGTGTCGCCTGTCGCTTTCAGCCGAAACGTCTAGTAATGATAGATCCGCACGAAACGAGAAACACGAAATGCCACGAAGTAGGTCAGAGCAGATCGAAATCTGCTATTTATTAGTTGTGCTCAAAGCAAATGACGAATGGGGCGAGGAGAGAACAAGAAAGGACCTGAATGAAAAAGACCTTGCGCAACACTACAACACGAACGAACAAGATTACTTTGCAAAGCTGCTGCTACCACTGCTTCAAGCACTCATTAACTTAGTTAATTTAGTTAAATAATGAGAAAGAGATAACTAAAAAACTAGAAGCAAAGTCAAGGCAAGTTACGTGATTGCAATTTCTAAAAAGAAGTTAACTACAAAAGCTTACAATTCTTTGCGTATTCATAATTTCGTAATAACCGTAACTGGAATGATTTTTACGTAAGCAAAAATTTATTGAAAAAAAAAAAACACCAATCTTATGAGAAATTTCCAAGTTTCTATATTATTGCAAATCGAACGATGAATTCTCTTCACGCCAACTTGATTAGAAAACTGGAACGTTGAATGATGATGATTGCAAAACCGCACGCCAATACAACAATTTTTTAATTTGTTGAAATTTAAAAAAAATAATTAATCACAATGAAATCTATACAATTATCGATTTCTAATTGTATTAATTACATAAACGTATGTATTAATTGTTGTTGTTTCCGAAATAACTCACAAGATGGCGTTTTTTTTTTATATTATTAAAATTTATGCAAAAGTGACGTTTTTATATCAATTTGTAAATCGTAAAACACATTATAATTTCTTAATTTTACACATTTATTTTTGAGAGAAAGAATCTCCATTTAATTTGCATTCAAATTAAAAAAAAATGGATAATAAAATAGAAACTTATTGTTTTCGATAAATGTTTATGCAAATATTGCAACAGTTTTTTTTTATATTGTTGTTGTTGCTTTTACTTTTTTTCGATGTTTCAGTGAAAATCAAAAGACCTTTGACATTAACATCTTAAGTTTAGAAATCATCTGTTTCAAACACATTTGTTTTGTTTTTCATTACTTGTTAGTGAGAAAAAAAGTGTTCTTTCATTTTAATAGACATAAAGTAACTTTAGTAAATTGAAAAGTACGAAAAAAAATGTGAAAATGAGGATTCGCTTGCAGCGCCATTTTAATAATGTGCGCTTACTTGTCAAGTTGCTCACGTACATTTAAGTGAATTGCAGCGATTAGACTTGCATTAATTACACGTTTCCTTATAAAGTTTAATTGGGGAAGGTCGGAGGTCGCGCGCGCCGCAAAAGAAATTTTTGTTGTTTCAAAAGTGTGGAAACGGCGAACCAACTGCGATTTGGAGCAATAGAAAGTGGCGATAAATCAGAGTGCGAAACGGTGTGTTTCTCTCGCTCTTACTTAGTTTGCGCTGCAATTAAATAATAATAATACGAACGACTCAACTTTGTCATTTAATAAGAATATAATAAGGTTTCGGAAATGTCAGCGGTCTCCAGAGAGAGAGAAAGAGAGAGAGGTCTCTCGAAATGTGTGTGTTCTTAGCGTGTGGAGGAGAGGTAAAAGTGTACGTCTGTACGAGTGTGTGTGCTTTAGTCTCTGGTGCACCTTTCTACTTCTTGCAGTCGACCTGCGGTGGTGGGTGTTCTCGCAGGAGGCAGACTTTGACATTCGGTGTTTTTTGTTTTTTTTTTCTGTTTTGTTTCTACGGTGGTCCGAACACGACGACGCGATTTTTGTGCTCACTACTATTCTAATTACTCTTTTGTTTATATATAGTGCATAACGATTATTTTTTTGGAATTTTTAATTAACAACTTCGAAACAGGTAATGAATAGATTTAGACTATTTTCAATCATTTATGTATTATTGTATCATCATTTTGCACTCGTTTGCAATTTCTGCTTGCGTTTGTCATTCCTAACCTTTACACCAATGTCAATGTCAAATTTGTTGCATTTATTCTTCTGTTTCGAATTGGATTGCATAAAATGAATGCATTTTTTTTATTGTCAAAATAAACAATCTATCCATGAAAGTTGACCAATTTATAATTAACAAGTTACGTTGCTATAGAAACGATTAATAATTCCTCTTTTGTCTCTTTACCGTACCGTACCGTAAGAATGGTATCATCTGATGACCGATACCGTTAAGAAATAAAATCAACGCGAGATGAGAAGAGATCATCGAATGCAATGTAATAGATCTAGATCCTATACGAATCCGGGTCATCGAGTCGAACCGCGTCATCTGCAGATGATTCTTCCGCGACAATAAACTATGTCATAACAATATCCGTTATCTAAAATCGATTATTCAATACGCTTGTACGGTTTAAATATTTCACAAACGCAATTTTCAAAGTGAAATACCCGAAAAACTGGAATCCGCATAGTAAATACAATTATTGAATTAGATTCCCTAATTATTCAGCTTGAATTTAAGCACTCACAATCTATGTTAACTCAATTAATAATCGAGATATTCAATGAAACGTAAAGCTGTAACTTGAATTTGAGCATTTACAACAGCGGTTACCAAACAGCGAAGAAGTTGTTTTCTTTAATGTTTGGAAACCTCTGATTCATCTATGAGAATATTTCAAATGTTTCATCTGAAATTTCTAAATGGCAACAACGCAATTTCGATTTTAATGAATATCGAAGAAACTTGCGCTAACGGTGAACAATTGTTAAACGGTTTATTTCGTTAACAATAAGCGTCAATCATTCGACGAAGAGCGGATTGTAAAGATGCAAAACGCTGCATCTTTTACTCAAGTTTTTTTTTTCTCATTATTATAAAATTCTGTGAACCGTTTATAGAGGATCACGTGGGACGAGCGACGTTGCATAATAATGGATTGTGGATGTGAACGAAAGTGCTTCCATCTATATCAATTAACGATAATCGTTTTCCATTGGAATTCACACATAGTGACTTATATTTTTTGGAAGTTGGTTGCACTCAATACGAATTTATATTTTGTTTTAATTATTAACTAATTAATGTTTAATTAAACAACAGTGTACTTACATGTAATGATTAATAATATGCTAAAATCACAAATTCCAATAAAAACGCACTAATCTTCATTAAAATATGCAGTTTAAAATGCAACTGTCACTTGAAAGTTTACCGTCGCCGCCATTATTAATTAACTGCACGATTACCAACTTTTCGTTATTATTAACGTAAAGTTTCGCGTTACCACCTTAATACAATAACGATTCATGTTATACAACCAGAGATGCAGCGCAATAAAGTATGATTGAGTTTCACGATTTAAGTTACAAAGTCGGAAATATTGCTCGGACCATATGTTCCGTGGTCCGAAGCGGAGGCGTTCAGATGTTCTTGCCGTATTATTATTTTTTTTTTTTAATTTTTTCAACTCTCTCTTCTTTTCATCTTCGCTTCTCCCGACTTCCTACATGGGTCAAATCTAATCTCAAATTCGTTTCGCCCTCGCACACAGTAAGAAAAAGCATATTTCCACGTTTCTTGTTTCAATAATTAAACGATTTCTTCTTATTTTATGTGATCAATTTGGAGCTGTCACAAAAGAAACGTCAACCATTTGTTTCGTCGCCATCTTGGTTTATCTGTCAAATGTGACAGATTAATTTGGGAACGGAATTTATTGTGCAATTTGATAAGATTTCAGTCGATGAACAAGTAAAGGATGTTTTAGATGAAAGAGTAGGAGAAGACAAAGTACGACAACGGTGCGGAGGAGGATGGTACATCGGAAACATGAGTAGTTTCCTTTTTGAAAATCCGCGCGTCATCTGCCGGTGGTCGAGGTGGTTTCATCCACGGCCGCCTTTGTTCTTGTCGTTGTTGTTATGTCGGAGTGGTGTGAGTGTCTTAAACATAAAACTTATGCATGGGATAAAGCCTAAACCGTACGAGAACGTGGGCGTCTTGATTTATCGCACCGTCAGACATTAAATAAATGTAATTTTGAAATCGCGAGAAATAAATCCATCGTTTGTGTAAAATGTAAAAGAGCAATAAAATAATATTAATCGACGCTCATTTCGTTTGTTCCAAAATAATCAATTGTTTGATTTCCATGGAAACGGTGACAGTATCGAAGTAGATGGGGTTAGTTGTTGTATAAATTGATATTAGAGTTGCGACGTTGCCAATTCGTTGTTACATAATGAAAAAAACAAAGCAGCCAAGGCTTTTGACCTAGACGCGATTAACGTAATTTCGTTTATGTAATTGAGGTCATTGAGTTTTTTGAGCAATTCAAAATCAAATTTGATTAAAATATTATTTACGCGTAAGTCAAATAAACAGTTGGTACAGTGTCAATCTGTCACTTTAGTTCTGGTTGTCACCGACTGAGAAGATGAGGTTGGTGCACCTTGTTAATCGCGGTGCGTGCGAATAATATCAATTAAACTTTGTAGATGATGATGATGATGCGTGGAGAAGACCGTGAAAGAGGCTATAAATAGTGGCGGCGGAGGAAAGTTATGCGCGAAATATAAATTTCAATTTGATGGTCACGGCAAGAGGATCTCGCAGTTGGAAGAGGAAGAAGGCTTAAATCTTTCTCTCTCTTCATCATAAATTTCTCAATGGAAAAGCCCGAGCAGATTTATTATTTGCGTTCGTAAATAATTACGGGTCGCGTTGCCACAATGCAATATTTATCTTTCCATGACAACGACAACAACAACAAAAACAAAATTTAACATATACTCAACATTGTTTGGATACCAACATTAAAACTTGATTGTAACTAAATTATTTGTATTAATTTCTTATTTATCATTTATCCGGTCAAGGGAATAAGAACTTGCGACGCGAATAAAACAAGGAATTAAGGACGAGGATCGGCAGTAAATCATCCTCTTAATGCGCCGATGAAAGAGGTTAACAAAAAGGACAAGAAGAAGAAGAAGCAGTAAAAAACTCGTATCCAATTTCAATAAATTTAACGATTGTTTACCGTGCGATTTAACCGATCGCTATCTTCGATTCTTATTAAACGAGTTTAACAAGTGTCATTGTTTATTGGTTCGCCGATGAATATGACCGCAACACAACTTGCATGGAACCAAATATAGTTATATTATTTAAGTTGGTACAATTTTTTCTTTTCTTTCTTATTAGGCAAACACCATTTAAGTTGGTGCTTCTGGCAAAATCCATTGCTTTTGTTATCAAACAGAGCGAAACGTCACACGTCTGTGGTTAATTAGTTTTGAATTAATTTCATAGAAATATCAATTAAAATAAGCGAATTATCAAAAGTTTTCAAACGAAAATAGTTAAAGTGAAGATGAGAATCGAAAGAAGCAGCAGCGGATGGTTCAAAGGTATGAATTTGTTTAAATATATTAGTAGTTACAAGCTGACAAATGACGATCGACCAAACTGTGACTACGATCGTTTCGTAATTATAGTTCGCATTTTTGCGTCTAGATGACGCGTAATCCATTCGAATCCAATATGCATTTCACAGATCGTGTAGGAAACGTCGTGTTGCGTTGTTTTTCTTTTTTTTGCGTGAGCAGAGCAGATCAAGCGTAAAAGTGAAATCCATTTCGGATCGTTCGGGGATTTACATAAGCTTCACAAGTTGATGGAAAGAATAGAGGTGAGAACGAACGTTTGCGGAGAGAAAGAAGCGTGTTTTGTCTGCAATGTGGATCGCGTTTAATTAAAATGGGTATTTCGAGACGTTCGAATAGGAAAGTGAAAGGGATGATGATGATGATGAAGACACGCGCGCACACACAAAAAAGAAAACCACTAATTACTATTTTTTGTTGTTTTTGTTGTTGTTGTGTGTATTGACACATGCTAGTTTATGTAATGTCAGTGATGTTGCATAATAATTAATATTGTGGCGCCATCTAGAATAATAATTAAACTATTTTTTTTTACAAGAGAATAGCAGTAGTAGTAATGATAGTAGCAGCAATAATAGTGGTAGAGGTAGTAGTAGTAGTTGTAGTAATTCTGGAGCATTGTTCGAGTTTCGTTGCGCAACGAAATGAGGATGCAATAATTCAATTATTCAATTTGTAAAAGTGCACGGCGTGAGCAATGAAATGCACGACTTGCTTCCTAAACAATTGGCGAAAAGATCCGCTGTTCCATCTCTCTCTCTCTCCCGTTTCCATCGAAACTGATTGATTGACTGGCATCAGTTTCTTTCTTTGTTTTACCGTTGCATTCGAAGAATACTATATAGTTTATGTGTTAGTTTATTTTATAACTAACTTTGTAATTAATTTAAACTTAAAGTGAATTGAAGTAATCTAAAGTATTGATTTGAGAATAGTGTAGGTTGCTTCTGTTGATTGCTATTCGTCTATGAGACTGTTAATATATTGGGATTTTAATTTCTGCTTAACAGTTGTTTGTTTCGATGCGTGAGGTGCAAACGAAATGCTGCAGGATGGAGCGCGCGTTTTGTAGAATGCGATGGACTACAAATTGTTCGCGTCTCTTTATGTATAAACGCGAGACGCGAGACGCGAGAAGAAGAGGAAAAATAAGATGAAGGAGAGCAAAAAAGAAAAAGGTACGAGTTTTTCTTGAACACTAAACTGGCGCGACAATTAAAAGACCAGTAAACCTCGTCGTCCGTCTCGAGGAGACGAGAAGACAGGTAGCAGCAGTATTTATTGCACTGGCGTTCTTCGTTTCGCTTGATTCTTGTCTTCTACCTTCTCATCGTCATCTCCATGCGAATGGGTATCCGATCGATCTGGAGTTTCGCGTACAAACATGAATGCGACGACGGTGGAGGAGATGCGCGTCACCGCGGTTTATATGCATAAGCGTTTGGCTTTCGTGCATATGTAATAATGTTGGATAATGTGTGATGATTGTTAAATGTTGGTCTGAAGAGAGACAGAGAGACATGTAGTGTGGAAAGAGGAGGAGGAGGAGGAGATGGTGATGAGTAAGCAGCTAGTTTAGTCTTTTTGTTTTTGCAGGTAGTAGACTCGAGAGCGCGTTCGGGTGCGGATGGAAATCACCAGCAGCAGGCGCGCAGGAAACTGGAGGTGTTTCAGAGCCAAGTGCCGGGAGGGAGGATACAGGTGATCAAGACGCAGACGGTGTCGAGCAGCAGGTGGACTGGATTGGGCGGCGGCGGCGGCCGAAGGATTATTAACAACAACAATAACAACAACAGCAGCAGCATCGAAGACAACAACGAAGAAGACGAGGCTCATTTCGAGGATCTGCAAGTAAAAAAAATAGATATATTTATATAATAATATTGTTCGTGCGAGATTGCGATTAGAACGTTTCATTAGGGCAAGTCTCGCTTTACAGCTGTCGCTGAACCCACTGGATTTAACGTCGGAGAAGTCGAAGGCCAGCGTGGGCAGAAGCGTCGGACGGCGACCGCCTTCCAGATCTCGCATCAGAGACGACATCCTCGGACGGGATCTACGCACGACGGCGGCCACGAATCTGCACCGGGTGTCGCGTCTCTGCCATCAGATCCACGACGACGCCGTCCGTAAAACGTTCGGAAAATACCAGAGTCCACTGCAACAGCAGCAGCAGCAGAAGCAACAGAAGCAGACACTTTCGATCGACGAGAGGCAGAGCGGTGACGGTGTAGAGATCGTAGAAGTAGAATCGGAGACGCATTCGAAGCTGTCACGAACGAAGAGCACCAGCAGCGAGGATCTGCACGATCCGAAGAACCTCGAAGATTTGGACGAGCAGCTGCAGAGTTGGCGTCGCACTTCCAAGATACGCAGATCGCTTCAGTATCCCAAACAGAAGGCGACCAACAGCAAACCGCCCGATCTGCCTTCGAACACGGGCAGCGTGCGGAGGATCAAGGAGGACCTGGAGACGGGCAAACGGCTCAATACGGCTCTGCGCGGTAACAGCGTCGATCTGGACGCACTCGACCAGATCCTCAGGTCCATCTCGAATTCGAGCGTGAGCAGCGGGGAGCAGCGCGACGATAAGGACGACCCCAAGCAGCAGCAGAAGAGGAATTCCTTCGTGACCGTCGAGTCGATAAGGGCGGTGCGCGGTCGACTGCGACGCACTTCCTCCCCAACGAAGGACATCTACAGACCCGAAGAGATCGATGACGGCATCGTCACCGAGCGGCAGAACGACATGAACGAACGCGTCAAATCGTACGTCTTCGGCATGGACGGAGACATGCAGAAGAAGATAGTGGTCACCGGCACTGGAAGCCTTGAATCGCGACCGAAACCGAGCAGCGTCTCAGTCAATCGAAACGAGGATTGGTTCAGCCGTCGGAAATCTTATGGATTCGAGCAGATGCACAACCAGCCGGAGACGATGTCCTCGAAGACGAAATCGCGCGTCGAATCATCCACTGATAGCGGCATCTGCAGATCGACGGAGATTGTACTCGTTCCGACACCGACGAAGGCGAACGTCGTCGGGTACGTTTCGGAGAGCGAGGAGGAGCTGAAGCAAGCATTCGGCGATGATCCGGGCGTCGGCAACGTAAAGAAGTACGCATCTCTATTCGAGAGTAAAAAGGAGGCCAACTATTGGAGCAAGAAACCGGAGGCCGTGACCATCACGATACCGATCACGACGACTGAGGGAGGTGGCTGGAGGGAAAACGGAGGCGAAACGAAGAGGCATTCCATAGCCGTCGACGAATCCAAGTACATGAGCAAAGTGACGGACAACAGCTTCAAGAGAACGAGTCTCGCCATCAACGATCAACGGTTCGACGAGGACGAGGGTCAGGGCAAGAGCAAGCACAACAAGAAGGTGGAATTCTGCAAGACGGAGGTGCACTTTGCCGCGGATTCGGGGAAAGTGAATATCGTGGAAACGGATGAGAAGCCGCCGCCCACACAAAACTTTCGCAGGAGAAGGAGAAGCAATTTGCAGGGCGATTTGCCCGTCCTCCACTTCGGCGACACCGGTTTGGAGAAGAGCATGTTTGGAGATGGGGACGAAGCGATTTACGAGAACATAGGTGATGGTAGTAATAATAAGGAGGTCGTGGCCTGCGGCAATGTAACGGTGAACGCCGTTAACGGTTACCAGGATGTGGGACTGGAGGAGCAGAAAGAGAACGAGGCTCCCAGGGGAATTCTGAAGAATAAACCGGTCAAACCAAAGCCGTACATCTTGGGTGGAGATCCGCTGCTTCTGCTGTCGACTGACGGTGGAGGAGGAGGAAGTAGTGGAGGCGATTCGGAGAAGACGTGGGGCGTGAAATTGAAACCAGCCCAGAAGGAGGAAAACAGCCCAATTTGGAGGTCGACGGTTACCGTGAGGAACACATTCTACGATAAGGAGGAACCGCAGCCGGAATTTCAAAAGTTGCTCAAACAGCTCAGGCCGACGAAGGAGGTTGAAGAGGAGAGCGCCTCCGAGGGTATTCGCATCCTGTCGCCTGCGGTGGACAGCAGAAGGTCTTCATGGTCGGTGGCAGATAGGATTAAGCAGGTGGAGGATCTGAAGTGGACAGAGAATAAGGGATATTCGACGAAGGTGAACTTTGGAGAGGGCGAAGCGACGGTCGTCGAGAACAGGCATCCGACGTGGCCGAGGAAAGATGAATACAACAAAGGTGAGTCTAATTCCAACTAGATCGTAGCTTAGATATAATCCTCCAGTAGTTAGATGTAGTCATGTAGTCGTCATCTTCTTCTTCAGTAATAGTTGTAGTAGTAGTAGTTGATCTCTAATCTTTAGAACAACACCAATTAGGTCGAATGAGAATACCTTTTTCTGTTGTGCATGTCTTTAAAACTCCGTAGAAAATCTATTTAACAACAACAACTACACTTAAACGTAAATTATACATATATTATATACATGCAGACACGTGGAAATAGTTAAAATTCTCTGAACCGAAAATGATTGCAGATTTGAAGAAAAATTTGCTAAATAAAGGCTTAGTTGTGCGCATTGGCAGAAACGACACGAACTCGAAGCACACGGTTTGCTCAAAGACGACGACGAACAGCGACACGAACGGCACGACGACGACGACCAAAATAACGATAGATCTGACGCCGTCGCCGACGAACGACAACGACAGAGTGAGCGGAAGAGAGAGTTTCAGGTTCCCTCGCGCCTCTCTGCAAAGCTTCAAATCACCAGCGCTCGTACGGAGCGCCCTCGGAGAAACCCTCGATCTGGTGCAGAAGAGGGTCAAGGTGGCACCGCAGCTGGACGCTCTGAGAAAGCTGTACGATGACGATGACGACGAGGTGCACAGCGACAGCGAGGCCGACGAGGAAGTCCATCGGATCCTGATGAATGGGTCGTCGGAACGACGTCTGAAAGACGACCTCCTTCACCACAACCATGACGACGACGGTAGTAGCGTGGTGTCCGGCAGCTGGAGCAAAATGCGCGCCTTTAAGCATATCAATCATTACCAAAAATCAATCACAAACGGATCTCATGCACTTTTAGAAAAAGGTATTTTAATTATTTAAAAAAAAAATGCGGTCTCTCTCTCTCTCCCATTCGATCAAAATACAAAAAAAGAATCAATCAATGTTACATTAAGCTAAGGAAAGCGTCAATTTTAATTGTTTGTGTGTGTGTGTCGTTTCTTTTGCAGCAGACGCTTCACGGCTCAAGGAGGAGACGACGACCGAATCAAAGTTCCGATACATCGATAAGCAGATAGAAAACGCGATCAGCTTGAACCAGGAGATGGAGGAGAGCAACGCGAAGCCAGAGAAACTATCTAGTCCGTACGTAGTGAGCCGCAGCAAAACCAAAAGCAGTCCGGATCATTCGAACTGCTCGAGCCTGGAGAGAGGAACGAAGCACGTTCTGAGGCAACCGAAGCAATCGGAGATGGCGTACTTCGGTATCAAAGTGAACAAACCAGATCTGCTGCAGTTCGGAAGCAATCACCGGAAGCAGACGAAGAAGCTGGTGGATTCGCCGATCTACGAGAACGTCGAGCAGAAGAACAGGAGGAATAAATTCGATAGCAGCATTCTCGAGGAGCTGACGAAAGCGGCCGATCAAATTCTGCAAGCGGTCAACGGATACACGGACGAGGAGCAGCATCAGCATCACGGCAAGTACAGCTCGGATGAGGAGAGGAAGGCGCCCAAATTGGATACCATCTCTGAGACGAAATCGTGGAAGAGAAGTGGCGCGCAACCGACGAAGAAGGCTGTAGTGAGCAAAGCCCCGAAGAACAAGCGCGAGAGTTCGAACTCATCGATAGAGAACGTTCCGAGGGAGTGCAGGAAGTTATCGTCGACGCTCGAAAGCGGCAGCAGGAAACCCTTTATGACCAAATCCGCGGAGCAGAAGCAGCGGAAGAAGGTGGTAAGCGGTGGTGGAGGAGGAGGCGGCGGCGGTAGCGGAACTGATACAGCTAAGGCCGCCACAAAGGCGCGACGTCTTCAGAGAGCGAGCAGCAGGGAGGCTTTACTGCAATCGCACGGCAGCTCATCCGAAGACCTCGCCAATCCTGCGGAATCGCAGGTCGTCAGGAAACCGCGTATGATCAAGAAAACGAAATCCTCGCAATTCACCGTCTCCAACGGACTCGATCTGAAGAAGCCGAAGCGACGGGAAGATGCCACCAAAAGCAGACCGTCGGAGGAGAGGTACGTCTTCTAACATTTCTGCTTATTACTCTCGTGTACTTGAAATATTCACACTTCTCCAGGCTTTCTGTCGGTTTACCGGAGATCCGGCACAAGACAGCGGTGTCGACGATAAGAAGCACCGCCGAGAAGGCGGCGAGTCGCGAGGCCAAAGCCAAGCTGCGGAGCGAAGAAGTTTCGAAGAAGAGGCAGACAGTGAAAGGTAAAAAAGACAATTGTTTCGGAGATCAATTGATTTCAATTTATTTTTTTCAAATAATAACGTAGGCGGCGTTGGAACGACGAGCTCGAGTAGTAGGTCTGCTGATGTGATGAGTAGGGGTGTGTTGAGGACGACGACGATGATGACTGGGGGCAGAGATCAGAGTCACAGAAATCCATCAGCGTATGTACCCGTTTATAGCACTAGAAGTCCGATAATTCATGCCAACGAGTGTCCATGCTTATGTTCATGACACTCGTATGTTCAAACCACGCTAGATAGATGATATGTACGACAGATTTTACTTCTTTTTTTTTATTATTTATTTATTTATTTTACATATAATAAGTTTTAACTTGAATCCAAATAGCAAATAATACGCAGAGTAGATTTCCCCCCCCCCCACGTCGTTCACTTCACGTCAATCTTTGGTAAAATGAAAGGAAAAAAAACTATATATATTTTTTTGTTTATAACGTAGTTCTCATTGATTAATTGATCATTGTCTTTTAACTGACGTTTAGAAAACATTTAACTTAACATTCTCGTCCACTAAACAAACATTATTTCATGAATCGCCAATCAAAAGTTGAATAGTTTTAAACTTGTTTAGTGGGCGTTGTAGTCTAACTAGTAGTTAACTCATTCCACCCCCAACCCCTGTCGTTAATTGAAAACCTAGCGTTGTATATATATATAAACATTATCATTATCGAGTAGAACGCTTACATAAACTATCCTCATAATTTATTTATTTAAAACTTTCAAGACTTGACGTGTAGACTAATAACTGTTTTTCAGTAGCAACAGCAGCAAAGTGAGGAAGTCGAGCCGCAACGAGTCAACAGCAGCAACAACGAAGCATTAACATTAAAACGTACTGATTTATTACTATTACTATTTTTATACAACACAGACAGACAACATTTTTCTATTCCTTTTTCTTTAAACTATTTTGTTACGATGTTGTAAATTAGTATGTAGAGAGAAAGACAGTGAGATCGATCTAAAGTAAGTAAGAGTGAGAGAAAGTAGAGATATATAATATGTATATGTAGAAGAGAAGAGTGTTGTATGTACACACCGTTTTCCTGCCTTAGATTTTAAGTTCCTAAAAAGCTACTCTTTTTTTCTTTTTAATTATTTCATGTAATATTTAACACTTAATTATTATGTTTGTAATGTGTAGTGAACGAGTAGTGAAAAAGAAAGGGAAGAGACGAAGGCTAATCATCGCCTGTATATTCCTATTACATTAACGACAACAATTTGAAAGCGAAACGATTAAAAAGTACTACGAGACTAACCGAGACGCAAAACGAAGAGAGAATAAAATCTTTTTGCTTCTGTCTGTTAGAAAAACACTTTCGTTCGATATTTATAATATATTATCATCTGTGTAACCTCTATTGATTAATTTTGTGATCTTTAATCTTATGCTTCTTGGTTATGTGATTATATAAATATATATATACATATATAATATATAAAGAGAAAGACACACATATGTGTGTGTGTGTACGAGTTTTATTTTTTATTTTTTTTTTGTAATAATAAAACTGATTATTAATACGGAGTCTCAATGTATAGTTTTATATGTAACCTTTCGTTCTCTGATAAGACGCAGAGCTACTTCGATCGCCGACCGAAGTGGACGTATTCGACTGTTTTTTGTTCTTTTCTTTTGTTTCGAGGGAGGAGATGCAGGAAAACATGGTAGGTCTTGATTTCTTCTTCTTCTTCTTACCGAAACAAAACAATAACCAATCATTGATCACGTCAATTGTTGAAACGTTATTTGAATCGAATGTGCTATTATTCATCGTGCACGCAATTCAAGAAATAAACGTTTCGAAATCACGATGAATTACAAACTTAATCTACATCCAAATATTTGATTTTAACAAAACCACTTTTCCATCACTCATCTTAACAATGCGCCGTTTTAATACACTGCAAACATTTCGATGTAATCTTAAATCCATAGACTACAGTAAATTTCTTTTTTAAATTATGTAAAATTGGTTGCATATAATGAATTACGTAATTTCGAATTGTAATTTCTTTACTTCAATCGAAAGCTGCATTATTCGTATCCATTAATCGCAATGTTAGTTTCAAATTCGAAAATCTGCATCAGTAAAATCTTATTTAACGCTTAAAATACGTTCTTAAACGAGGTATTACTGTACTTGTTTATTTGACAATTTGAATTTGAGTAGGATCGGTTGCATACACCTTAATTACGTAACATCGTTAAACATTGCATAATAATACGCCGTTTTAATACGCTACAAACATTTCGATGTAATCTTAAATCCATAGAATACAGTAAATTTCTTTTTTAAATTTTGTAAAATTGCGTATAACGAATTACGTAATTTCGATTTACTTCATTACTTCAATCGAAAGCTGCATTATTCGTATCCAATTATCGCGATATTAGTTTCAAATTCAAATTGGAAAATCTGCATCAATAAGAATACAGTAAAATCTCGTTTAACGTTTAAAATACGTTTTTAAACAAGGTATTACTGTACTTGTTTATTTGACAATTTGAATTTGAGTATGATCAGTTGCATACAATTACGTAATATCGATAATCATTGCACATTTAAATTCAAAATATCACTCACTTTTCATCGTAACAATGCGCGTCCGCCGTTTTAATACGCTGCAAACATTTCGACGTAATCTTAAATACATAGAATACAACAAATTTCTTTTTTAAATCGTATAAAATTGATTGCATATAACAAATTACGTAATTTCGTTTTACTTCAATCGAAAGCTGCATTATTCGTATCCATTCATCGCAATGTTAGTTTCAAATTCAAATACGAAAAATCTGCATCAATAAGAATACAGTAAGATCTCGTTTAACGCTTAAAATACGTTCTTAAACGAGGTATTAATGTACTTGTTTATTTAACAATTTGAATTTGAGTAGAATCGGTTGCATACAATTACGTAATATCGATAATCGTTGCACTTTTAAATTCAAAATATCACTCACTTTTCCATCACTCATCTTAATAATACCACGTTTTAATACGCTGCAAACATTCCGAGGTAAGCTTGAATCCATAGAGTACAGTAAATTTATTTTTTAAATTGTGTAAAATTGTTTGCATATAGCAAATTACGTAATTTCGAATTACTATTAATTTCTTTACTTCAATTATTCGTATCCATTTATCGCAATATTATTTTCAAATTCGATTCAAAAATTTGCATCTATAAGAATACAGTAAGATCTCGTTTAACACTTAAAATACGTTCTTAAACGAAGTATTACTGTACTTGTTTATTTGACAATTTGAATTTGAGTATGATCGGTTGCATACACCTTAATTACGTAACATCGACAATCATTGCACATTTAAATTCAAAATATAAAAATATTTTTAATTGTTGCCGTATCAATTGGATTTCCAATAAACATAAACGTTTCCTACGTGATTTCTAAATAATTTAAGATATTCCTAATATCATGATGACTTAAACCTACTCTGATTATTTTTTTATAAAACATTTGAAATCGAGAGCAGGACTGGTTGCATGGCATGAATTGCGTAACTTTAGTCAAAATTTAAAATTAATGTAGATTTAGTATCAACGAAGGTTGCGTAATAGTAGGAGACGACACGCGCGTGCAAATTGCACGATCAAATAATGAATCGGATCGAACGAAAAGCGTGCAATGATTCTTTGGAAAAAAAAA